TTAAAGAGTGCACCTGGATTGTAATTGTAAGTGCTGGAACTGAATTGTTGCTTTTTCTCTGTAGTGGGGCTGGTTTCCTGAATGAATGGGAGCAAGTTGGAATAAGAGAGTGACTGAATAATAGGTGTAACCACCTGCAGTTAAAAGTTAACGAGTGGCAATGAACACCTCCGAACCGCAGACTGACAGGAGGAAGGTATCAATGTCAGCAGCGGGAACTCCTTTAACTCCACTGTCCATCCAACAAAGTCTCCAGTTTGAGTTGATCAATGCCAGGGACCAGTTCCTGAGACTGAATGCCACCTGACTGACCACTCCCAGAGCCCCTAATTCATGCCCATGGTGAATTAGTCAAAATTTCAGAGTGGACTGCTGAAACTGCATGTACCAGCAGGCAAGAGCCCCGATGACTGACAGCTGCCATCCAGGAATGTCCCACAAGGGTCAGAGACTCCTAGATTGGGTAAGCCCAAGAACTGGGGGATCACTGAAGTCTGCCAGACAGGGATAAAAGGCAGTGAAGTGTGACCCCCAGTGGTGCCCTCCTCATCCTCAACCTAACCAGCACCCGAGCTGTCCAACCACAAGGACCAGCTGGCGACTCCCTTCTGGAGGCTACACTCCCTTGGAGGAAACCTCAACTGGCCATCGACAGCAGACTCCAATGCTCTGGATAGGTATACCCAACACCAGTGCTCTGTTCCAGCTGCTACACGTGTGTATGTATTTAAAGAGACCAGCACCCCTCATAACCCTTGGATTTGTGGCTTTATTAAATTTTGCACTCAGTCTAATAACCTGGAATTTATGATGCTCCTGAGAGTTGGTCATTTGTAGCCAACAGTTGAACCACCCTGCTCTGCATCATTGCTAAAATGAATCTTAGTTTTAAAATGGCAACTTAGGTAGTACTGAAGTGATGCTGTAGCTGTGATGGTCCAGGAAACATGCAAGGCAGGGATTTTTGTGGGTAGTATCTTTTACTGGACCAATCACATGGTCTGGATAGATTCAGGCAAGCTTTTGGATACCACATGCCCAGAAGTTCATTTAAGTTTGTTCCAACTATGTAGTTGGTCCACAAATATCACCCACAAAAATCCTTGCATCTCATAAATGGAATCCTAAACAATTTCAGAGTGCTAACAGATATACAAGCAGCTAAAATGTTAAATTGAAAAAAGATGAAAGAATATAGTATAGGATAAGCTAAAAACACAGCAGTGCTTCAGGGTTGCAGGGTTAAAACTGGAATGGAAACTGGCTAATAGCAAGGTGATCAGTGAGGAAACTATGATACTTATTACAGAAGAGTATTTATAAACACATCCACTACAGTTTCTTGTCAGTGTTCTAAAATTCAGGCCTAAGAGGAACAATACTGCTACAAAAAAAAAACTTTATAGTACAATACATGATACTCCAAAATACTCGGTTAAGCAGTGTCCTGAAAGGAAAATAAAACAAAATGAAGTCTTCTTTCACAATCACACTGCAGCACATTGAAAAAAAATACACAGATGCATCAAGAGCAGAACAGAAATTACTGATTCTATTTGTCACAGGTATATACTCTACATATAGATCTCTGGTACTCACAAATTATACTTAGATAACAAATTTTAGTCAGTGCAAAATGTACAATCAAACACAGGCATATTGCAAAAATATATACATGATTATTCAAAGAACATACTTTGAGGACAAACGGAATGTTTAAATATACAATAAAAGTCCACCTTTCATAAATTATTTTTTACAATTACAACATTTCAGTAACACTAATTCAGAGAAACAGATTACCACATAGTGGTTTGCAAGGAAGACTACCACAAACCAGTTATACCATTAAACCTTATTTTAAAATCAAGCCACTAGTAAACATGTATGATGTACATTATTAGTTTGAGGCACGCAATGTAGTAATAGTATTCAACCACTTTAGTGGTGGTTATACTGAGAGTTATTAGGCAGATGCACACACAAAAGAGCACTATGCAACAGCTGAACTATTCAATGGCCAGTTTAGCTTTACTTGTTGGTAGAAGCTGGTCCAGTATGTTACAACATTCAAAAGAAATGATCGAAGGCATCTTTAAATATAACAAACAATGTTTTAGAAACCAGGTACTTAAAGAACTATTCCAGTGAAATTGGCTGCTTGAAATTGGCAAATATATTCACACAGTTATTTGTGTTAATTAAGTATGCTCAGACTACAGTTAAGCACATCACAGATTTTATGGCACTCAAACTTTTTAGCAAATTCCATGGTATGTGCTGCTTTACTTTCAATATTACAATTCCCTTCCCCAAGAAATTCATCCTGGTTACACTTGGACCAAGCAACATGGTTTAGAGACAAAAAGCAATTTCCAATTAAAAGATTTTTGGATAGTGTGCTTTCCAAAATTGTAAATTAACCAATTACCTCAGTGATGCAGACCCCACCTCCCACCCAAGGATTTGGTTTTATAGTAAGAAAGCTTCTATTTTCCAGTAAACTATTTGTACTCAGTGCTCATTAATTTCTTAGGCACCACTTGCTACTCTGTTTAGATACTTTACAAGTACAGAGGACAAGAGCAGCAATAGTATTTGTAGTCTTACTTGTGTGCATTTGGATCAACTGAAAGCTAGTTTTGGAAGCAACTGGTGTCCGATTGGCCCCTTAGGCAAAACAAATCGGATCTAAACTGATTATGGAAATTTAATAATATCCATAATTGTTATATTTTTATGCCCAATCACAGGATTTTTAACCTTTCATCTGTAGGACTTTACTTGGTGAAGTTAAACTTCTACACAGGTGTTTATATTCTGAATTGCTACCAAATAAATTAAAAACACAGAGCAACTGAATGTAAATGAAGCCACACCTTCTGAGAATCAGTTTTCTTTCAATTAGCAAGAGACTGTTGCAAAACACAGAGGAATTAAGGGAGTGGAGTTATCACTTTCACTACCCTCATTAAAAAAATAGTTATCTCCTTTGGAATACCATTTTTCATAGCTATATACATTCTTTCAAAAGTTCAGAAAGACTTTTTCAACAACATAACAGTTTATAAAACCATCTTATAAATAATTTGTTTTTACCGAAAATAAACCCATTATTTAGGGAAAAAATGTTAAATCCAACACTTGTATTAGTACAAAATCTCTTCTAAGAGTAGAAGAGCAGAAAAGTCAAAATCCACTCAAATCTTTCTGAAAGGTTGCACTTAGGTGCTTGAACCACAAGGGCAACTATTTCCTTAATTCAAGGTTGTTCAACACTGGCATAGTTGGGGACCACACATGCCAAATGCTCTGAGGGCAGGCTCCAGGGATTCCCCTCCACACACACAGACACACACAGACAGTGCACAGCTTCCTAGCATGTCCTGTTCTTCCCCTTCCCCCCCAAACACACACACTGCATTGTAGAGGCTGCACAGGTGGCATGCATACCCCTGCCATGTGAGCTGCGCAGGCAGAGTATGTCCCACCCCTGGACCACAACACGTGCTACATTGGTGGTACATGGCTCCCTGGCCCATTATACATGGATAGTACATGCAGCACGTGGGCCCCTGGGACCTCCCCTGTTACATGGCAGTAGGAGAGGCAGCTGTATAGGCCCACAGGTCTCTTGTGGGTTGCATACAGACCCCAAGGGCTATCAGTTGGACAGCCCTGCCTTAATTTATGACTGAATCAGAAACAATGCTATCAATACATGTGGCAGTGCATTATTTCCACTGATCAGGATGCTTACAATCAAGAATCGCCATTCTGTAAACAATGACATTGTTGGCCTAACTGTACATTTAGAAGCAATGTTAACAATTTCTATTAAACCCACTACATTTTCTGTTCAATATCAGCAAAGTAATGACATGGCTGGGTGCCTAGGGCACAGACTGCAGTCATGACTGCAGCAGACTTTTTTTTCACCCTTCCCTAAATCAGCACCCTAGTTATGCCACTGTTCAGTATAACTACATTGTCAGTCCAAGAGCATGCATCAGATTGGTCAAGTGAGCAAACACCTTTGAGTTGGACTCCTCATTACACCAACTGCCAAATGAATAGCTGTCAACATTAAACAAATTTAAAATCAATCTTATGGACTATAAAATGAGTCTAACAAACTTATTCATAAAATACCAGCCAATTTAAGTGTTTAAAGTTTACATGAACTTTCAGTCAGATATAAATATGCATTTTAACAAGTTATTCATTTCCTCTCCTTTTCCCTAGTAGAGCAATTAAAGAAAAGTATAAATTAAGTGGATGCTCTTGAGTATCACAATCAAAAAAAATCTTGAAAACTTTAAACTGCATTCTATAGACCCGTTTTATTTTTAAACTGAAAGTGCTTCTGTAAGTCTGCAAAATCTTTTCCTTATTGACAAATACTAAAAAGGAAAATTTGCCCCATGCTAAACAAAAATATGTGCAAAATACGTGTAAAAATAATGATAAGGCAATCTGGAATCTAATCTTGCCAGTATGAATTTTAGCTAGTTAATAACTGAAAGACTTTTCAACTTTAGATCTGTTAAGAGGATTTAAGGGGAAATGAAGAGATGGTTGCAGCCCAACTGCTGAACCGTTTTTCCAATTAGATATAATAATTAACATTGGCACTAACAAGCACCACTGTTATCAGGTTCAGCAGAAGGGGTAGGGAAACAAAGGAAGCATGAAGGCATTCCCTGCAGAAGATGGGAAGAGGCACATTTACAATGAAGCAGAGGGAAAGTTACATGTATTATAGACCAAAAGGAGTTATATTGTCAAGTGTCAAACTGCATTTATCAAAACCCACTCAATTCAATTATAAATAAAACTGGAAATATATAACGTATATGGCAGGCACTACAGTAATAAAAGGTACATTTTAAAGCAGCCATGCTGCATGCTGTACTAAATAGCAAGTCTTAAAGAGTTATATAAGTGTTACCACAGTTGGTTTTTTCTGTTTTTTTTCCAAATTGGGATTTATTTATTTATAGCTATGACTATATTTATATAGCGGAGAGATGGGCTACTAGGTAAAGAACAAACATGTATAAAACACTTGGGAATTAATAGTATCTGGACTGAGTATATAATCTACTCGTTCAAGAAACATCATTATATAAGTTTGTAGACAGAGTTGCATTTTAATGTGCAAGCATCCATTTTAGTTCATTCTTTGTTTAGGGTTTAGTTCATTATTGTTGGAGTCTTGCATCAGTTTTAGTTCCAGGACATTATTCCCCCCCCCCCACACACTTTTTTTTTAATTTTACATTAGCAGTTGTGGTCGATTTTAACAGCCAAAACTTGATTGAAGTTTACCAACTAAAATTAGCTTTACAGAGATAAAGCCAACACATGGTGGCACTGAATTCTTAGATCACTGTTCTTCAATTTTGTAACTAGTACTCCTGGCTAAAAATTTCAGGTCACTATAGACCCTTGCCGTTTGTATTGTGAGTCATCCTGACAGTGTAACTGAGGGACCCGCTAGGAGGGACTTGCTGCACATCACCCAATGGCAGAACGTGTTTTCATGAGTGAGTGATGTAAGCCAACTGTTTTCACCCCACTAAAAATCACATAAAGTCTTATTGTGAAAAAAGTTCAATAAAGCCATCTTATATAATGCTGTTTTGACAAAATGATTCACAGCAGTCCACCAATATCAATGTAGTAAAATTACCATCAGTTGTAAAAGCTATACTAAGCAAGACATACGTTACAGCCATAAAAGACAATTTTTGAAATCATGGCTAAAACTCTGATAATACTTGCGGACCAGGTCAAATGGCCCTTTTAAATGTATAACATTTTACACATTCCAGCATCAAGTGCACCACTTCAAATTCCACCACTTGCACCACCTCAACCTCCCCAGCACATCCACCTGGGAGTGAAGCTAAGAAAAGGGGATGTGGCTGGGATATTCCAGTTGAGATAACAGTACTTTTTTCTGCCTTTTCTCCATCCTTCCAAAAGCCAATCCATTTTACCAACCTGCAGACAAGAGCAGTTCTTGGGAATGCTACTTTCTTTACTTTCTAGCCACAATCTCAGGAATCTGAAGTAACCTGGTAAAAAAAATAAATTCTACCAACACTGTGCCCAAATTGCCACAGATAGTCTTAGTAAATGTGCACACCGCCTCACAAAACAGCTCAGTGAATTTAGTTACTATTTCAATTTAATGCCTGCCTATCACTAAGTATTTCAGTGAGATGACAGTCACTCCCCAAATTACTAGTGAATCTTCTAGGTTTTTTTGGAGCTACTTTGAAAGCAGTCACAACTTATTTCAAAAAAGGATACGAGTTTGAAACTACAAAAGTACAGACATGCAGGGAGTAGTGAGTCACCAAAAGTAATGTGGTCAGTAGTGGAGAAAAAAACAGACTCCAAAAAGTGTCTTTTGTCTATGAACGTTACTGAGGTAATTCTGATCCCACTGACTTGAGAGAGAACACTGCTGAAATTTAACAGCTCATTTTAAAAAGTCTTTAACAGGATAGTCTGGAAGAAGTGAAATCATTCTGAAACGGTTAAAGATGGTTTGGCCCCTCGCGGCCAATCACACTGTCTAACAAAAATGTGCAGATAAATCATCTCAAATCATTTTGACTCATGCATTTAAGCAGATTTTCTCTGCTCTGTACATGGGGCATTTATTGTAGAGACCACTAATGTTATACTTTAACTGTGAATAACTTATAATGGTAAAGTAGCAGTGATTCTGACTTATCTGGCTTAACTCAAGGAGATTATAGTATCTTATCACCTTTTTGTTTGGAGACAGTGATTTATCTATGGAAACATTTTTTTAAAGGCTGAAATCTTCTTAAAAATAATGAATTTTTGCAAAAGTAATTAGGAAGATCTCAATCTGTGGTTATCAGCTACACACACTCCAAAAATTGGGCAATAGTTCATGGAAAAGTTACCAAAGGCAAACATAGTGGTACATACATTAGATGCATTTTACCCATGTAACTAGGAACTAGGAGAGAGAGAGACAGACAGAGCAGAACACATTACTTTCAACACACAATAAACGGGTGGTTTCATAAAGCAACCTTTCTTTACCACTCCTCTGAACATACTTTTCCAGGATAGGTTCATGTTCCCTGCAGCAGGCAAACAGTATTTGCTCTATAAAGATCTTCTCAGCTTAGCGTCCCTCTTCTGTGATTGAGACACTATCAGTTCTTGCCTCTCTTGTGCTTCCAACTTTTTTCTGCTTCTGCTTGGATTTTTTCAACATATGGACCTTTAAAAAAATTTGGAGAAAGCTTAAGACATTTAGCAATAAAAGCAAATGATCACCACAACTGTGCACTTTGAATGTACTATAAAGTCACACTAACCTTTTTTCAAACCTCCTATATTTAACAACACAGTGTGTGGACAGAAGTACAGATATTTTGCTATAGAACTTATACTGGTAGGCTCACATACCAATGTAAATGACACCAGAAACAGGCAAGAAGCAAGGATTTTTTTTAATTTGGTGACATCATTTATTTGGACCAACTGCATATACATCTCTTCCAACTATGAAGTTAGTCCAATAAAAGATTATCACAAAAAACTGCCTCTTTCCTATTTCCTGAATCATCACAGCTACAACACTCCAACTTTACTAGGATCAGGAACAGATAGGCAGCTGCCCTAGTTATTATTACAGTATATCATCACTAACTGGGAAGGCAGCAATTAATAACATTTGAATTTAGCAAATGGCTACCCCATGGTGGAGGAGGCAGAAGAAAACTAAACAGGTTTAAATTAACAGTACTAGAATTTTATCCTTGATCTTTTTGAAGGTAACATTCCTTCAGATTAGGCAACGTTACCTTGTTTAAACGCAGATGTAAATGTTTTGTGTGGCTAAGCAGTCTTCTGCTGTTTAGCTGTGATGGTCTGGGGAATAAACAAACAGCAAGATATCTGGGAATGTTTACTGGACCAGTTTTTGGTAATTTTTGTTGGAACAATTATATAGTTGGGATGCACTAGATAAGCTAGATAAGCTTCCAGGTACAAAAACAGTGCATGTAATATATTTTCTGTTCAGTGACCTTAAATTACAGAATGCATATATTTTTCAAATATGGAAGGAAATATTTTGGGGGATTTTTTTTTTTTTTTTTTTTGCGAGTAAGGCACAATCTGGACAACT